TTCATACGCATTTTTTTTTTAAGTTTATTGAAAATAAAAGTCGACATGCATTACATGATGCAAAAAGGCTTAATTTAATAAACAATTATCGGTTACAAATTTTTCAGCGGCCTCTAGTTTTTATATTATAAATTTAATATTTAAAAGTAAGTATTTTATTTTACAACTATAACTAGGCTGTTTTTTATATTGTCATTTGTGAGGAGTAAGATTTCAAAATGAGGTTTCAGCTTGCGCTTAATGCACCTTATAGGTTCATTAAATGCGGCCGTGACTTTAGAAATGCCTATCAGCCTGTATCTCGTCATTCGGATTCAACATACGCGAGTCTCGCCATTTGTATTTTGTCAGAAAACGGTGTCGATATCGTTTGTTAGTTATTTTTCGCGAACTGTTTGATAACGTTGTCAACTATTTATTTGTGACGGTGCAGCAAAGAATATAGTAACAATACATCACGAAGAGTCAAGTTTTCTGTCAATGTTGCTATATCACTTGTAATTACTGAAATCTGAAACAATGTTTTTTCTCTGGGCACTTGATTGTCCATGCTGATTTTATTTTGTTATTAGATAAATTGATTAAAATCTCAGTTATATCACAGTTATAACACGAATAATATTTCTTGCATTAATTTAAACGCATATGGATTGCGGAAAGATACATAATTTACAAGAATATATGAAATTCTTATTTTGGGGGTTAGGTTTGAATACGAAATTCATGGAGCGTAATGTAATATTGTATTATACATTTAAGATAATATCAAGTCGAGCGCACATAAATAATATTAATTATAATGGAATTTAAAATTAGAAATAAGACACTTATCAGCAGGTATAATAAAATTCACATCGCTCATTGACGAACGTATAAATATATTTTTTTTCACGTATTTTAGATGCGCGATTATGCGCACAAACTGATAGAACGAAACGTGTATATTTTTTTTATTAATTCGAATCGATATATTTAATTAAATTTTATTCGCGTTTCCGATTTACAATCGTGCGCATCTTTTTAATTTATTCGTATAGCGTGTTCGGCAATATTACAGTTTGAGGAGGATTCGCATTGGGGATGGTCTGAATTTCCTATTATGTTTACGTCAAAACAAAATAATATAATAATTTATCCTTATGAATGTGAAGCGATGTGGAGACATCATCGGGAAATGATTGTCATATCCCGCCACAATGGTGGCAAATATCGGCCTTCTTTGTTATTCATCATTAAAACTCGCGGCTCGAGGAAGTAAAGGAATTTAATGCAATAAACTTGTGTAGCAGTAAAAATTATGATTTATTGAGTCACTTTAGAACATAAAACGCCATAAAATAAATATTTATAGCAATATAAAATACTATGATGCGTTATTGAAAATGCATTCTTTTAACTATTTTTTGAAAAATAGTCAATGGAATAAAAGAATATCAACAGTTTTTCTTTACTTTGCGAAATGCTACAGTTTGATCATTATTGTCATTATTATACTGAGAAAAACTAAAATTGTGTAGTAAAATAATAATAGATCAGATACTTATTTTTATAGGAATTGCTATTACTTCAATTTATTTTATTAAATAATTATAGAAAACCTATAAAAATAAAGTTGACGCTAAAAAGCACTATTATAGTGATATTGTTACAAAGATTATTATAGTGAAAATATTGTTACAGCAACAATTTTTTTTCTTCTTAGTATAAGATATTTATCATAAATCGTCATCACCTTATTCTAGAGCTTCCATTTATTTTGTCCAATCAATTTTAGGTTCGCCAAAAACTCGAAATCTAGATATACCACCATCTGGTTTAATTGTTATTTTCACCCAATTTATGATAGAATTCTGATCTTTGTCCACAGTAATAAATTGCTCCGTGCCCGGATTTATCTGTAAAATTATTTGAGTTATAAAAAGAATATTGCATATGATTATAATTTGCTCATACTGACATTCTGCATAAATTTTGTGCATTCGTGAAGTTACATTGGCACTTTTCACTTTCATTAATATGAATAAATTGAAATAGTAGAAGTGATTAATTGGAAGCGTCAATTGTGTAATACAAATATAAATTATATTGTATAATATAGTAAAAACAGCCAAATACACAAAACGTGAAAAATTAATTAAACTTAGCTCACATGAACATCCGATATGAGTTTTTTCCATTTGTCGTTTAAATTGTCATCTGTTTTTCCAAAACATCCTTCCACTCGTACCATGTATGGAGCATTGCCAGTGAAAAGTCTTGTATCGATAACAACATGAGTGACTGTGCCTTTGCATCCCAACCTAAATAAAGCCCAGGATTCGACCAATATCTAAAATTTTTATGCCATATTATTGAGCGTAAATAATAATTATTTCTTTATGTAAAGAGATATTCCATTAATATTGATGTAAAATACATATTGCACTAAAAGAAATATTTACTTTATGGAATTGTTAAATAATTGACTGCAATTTCATAATTAGTACTTGATACAGTTTTATGTTACCTCATCGAATGACATTTTATTAAATTTGTAATGTTTGTAATGTTTTTCTACAGTATTCCATCCTTCAACAATGTTTGTGGCTTCATTAGGTTGAATAATATTATTAGGATGTCCAATGGAACTGTCACTGAATAATGTACAATGACTATTATACAAAGAGGAGATTAAATCAATGTCCTTATTTATTGGTGTAATCATGGGCATCACTTTTCCGTAAGCGCGTAATCTGGCAATACCTCCGTCTGGGAAAATATTGAGTCGCAAATGGGTCACTAAATCATGCTGTAAAGTGCCGAAGGACTTTTTACACATATATGGATAGCCGGAGCTTAAAGTGGATGGCGAAATCAAATAGTTCCAATTCTGAAATTGCATTTGCCAATCAATGATCTATTGACCATCATCACGAAACAACACATTTTTCATATGCAAGACATTTTTGGCGAAAGGACTATTGTCATAAAACATATATAAATATGTTGAAATTATATATATATAATTAAGATTAAGTTTTATAATTTATTTTCGTTTATATTATTCTTTAATACTTCTGAATACTTCCATTTGAAAAAAAGTAAAATATGTTGAATAATATAAATTTTAGTAATATAGATTTTGAAATATATAATATTGTAATATTGACCTCTGTAGTATTGTGCATGGATATGTAGTCTTTCATATTGCAAGATGTGCCTAATTTATTTGTACGATTTGGCCTATATTTAATGCCAATTAAACCTGCAATAAATTATATTAACATATAGATTACAATTAGGGATTATTATAAAGTCATTTATAATATAAGTAATATAATAATGAGATTAATAAGTTAGGATTAACAAATCGCTAGAAGTTATTTCTCACGAACGTTCGGGTAGCATTTCGCCTTGTACGGAAAATTCTGAAAACTCGTTGATAAAGCAGGCAGTGTTTATGCAAATGGAATGTATATGAGTTGCACCGGATAATTGGATAATAACAAAATTATGCCGTTCATTTCGCATTTTTTGGATTTTCCATCCGTCGACATTGTTGTTGGTTTTGTTACTGAACATCATGTGTTCATTGCATACAGGATCATCATTCTGAAATAAAACAACAATAAACCGTCAGCAATGATGAATGTATTAATTGCAGATTTTCTACACATTCTATGCTTTTTAGATTAGTTTTTGATTATGCATATATTTTATTGTTACCATTATTAGAAAATTATTTTTCAATAGATTTAACAATCTAAATTATAGTGTGTCAAGGCTCAAGAGCTAAAACTTGTTGTTTGTGCAACTGTTGTTTATTTATTTATTCATTGCGTTGACTTTGATATCACTGTAGCTTTTCACACTAAAGATGAATCAGAAATCGGAACGTACATAATTTTAATTTGCAATTATAATTTCAATATGTATAACCAGCTTTGCTTTTTAAATTCTGATACTTTGTAATTTAGATTGTTATAATTATTATATTTATATCATAACTGATATTTTTTACAATATTGGAAGAATATGTATGTTTATATATGAAATTTTTGTTATATTTATTACAACTACTTACTTTAAGTAGATTTTCAGCCACGCCGTAAAAAATCATCGGTTGCAAATATAATTTTAGCTCCGTTCTATAATATTCAATTATTTTATTAAATTTTTATCAGTCGATTAAAAAAGTAAATTATCATGGTGATAAAATAATGTATTAAGTTATTGGAGAAATGTATATAAAAGAGAGAACTTAAAAGTATCGTTAAAAAACGAGTAGAAAATGAGTTCTGCTTTTTATTTAAATACTTAAAAAATTTGGAAAACTGGTGATATCAATAGGAGCCAGTATATTTGCACATAGAAGTATGTTTGTTCCAGCAATAATACAGTTAATTT